GAACAGCTAACGAGAAGTGGGAGGGTAGCAGAGTGAACATGACTTAAAGGAGACTGAATCCTCCTATAGAAAGCCTGGGAAGGTTGATACTGGTTAGACTAGAATCAGTAAGAATCAGTGAAGAGGGAGATGAGAGAAGGTGGAGAAAGATTTGCCTAAAACTGATAGACTTAAATTTTATACTGACACGAATCTAGAGCTGCAACAACAGCAGCGGGTTATGGCTGTCCTTGTTTGTACTATGGCTACACTAGATTAGCATTAGTACAGAGGACTACTTAAAAGTATGCATAAGAGGTATACTAAACATCTCACAGTTTAAGTGATCAAATTTGGAAGACAAGGAGCTCTTGGAGACAAAAAGTCACACAGAAAAAGTATTTATGCCTGAATGTGACATTCATCACTGAATGCAAAATTCTTCACTTCATCAGCAGCCTTTAGAAGACCACAGTCATTCTTGTTCAAAGTTAACATCTGGTGTTTGACATGGAAAACTCTCAGGAAACAGTGGTTTTGTACATCCAGAGCCCAGAGCAACTTTCATTCAAACAGATTCATAATCCTTGGAGGAGAGAAGGGCAGGAAAGGAAAATCAACTCTGCAACATTGATTCCCAGCGTCAAATTATTTTAGTCTGTATTAAAAGAAATTGTGCTATTAAAAAAAAAAAACTATGCACCACACTTCCAAAAATAAATGTTGGTGATCATGCAACTATTAGGTAGAGAAAGCATAGCTCATAGCTAATGCGCAAATGGCTATCCTTATTTCCATCCTGATGTAAAAAAGCAAATGCAACATCATGCAACATCGTATCTACAGGAAAATGAATGGATAAACATTATTTTAGTACCTTTAGCATAAATAAATTGTTGGAGATTTGTTGTGAATCATAAGCAATATATATTCATAATGAACTAAAACAAAAAATGCTAATCCATAAATCCAGACTGTTAAAATGTCTTTTAAGTTGATAATAATGTTTATAATAATTGTTGCTTACTAGGAAGGATATAAAAAAAAGCAAGAGTTCTCATGACTGAAATCCAGGTAGGTAAGGATTAAGTTATTAAATGTTCCGAAACACATTTTTATGCTAACTGAACGCTGACTATCCACACAGGATTTCTAACTTAAGGAGAGCGCTAGCAACAAGAATTCAGGTAATTAAAAAACAGAATAAAGTTCATAGGTACCTCAAATACAACAGCTGCTTTCCCCATTGCCAAAGTCAACCTACATGCAAAAAACTAGTGATAACCATGCAACACAAAACTGATGGATGATCACATCAGTATCACACAAAGACCGATTCATACAGTAGCCCTTTTGCTAGGGCTGATGGATTACAAGCAAAATATTTTCATAAGCAAAGAATGTTAAAAATCCACATAAGTAATTATCTAGTTAAGCTGCTATTAAATGCACTAACAACAGAAACTGTTTTACATCAATTGCAAAATCTATCAGAATTATTTTTTTGTAGCTAGAAAAATTCTTGGATGGGGGATAGAATGGAGGGAGTTGTGGAAATATCCTCCAAAGGCCTACACGAAAAGACAGCAACTATTTTGTGCCCAATCCCAAGCCTTTGAAGTTAACAGAAAGTCTCTGATTAATCTGCATCACACTCCTCCTATGGCTTACTGCCCTTTCTAAAACTAAATCCATGAAAGATTCAGAGGTTTTGATTTTATACACTCGCCATTACAAAATATATATGTTTAATAAATTAAAGTCAGGTTCACAAATATATGCTTAGGAACATCAAATAAAATCGTTTTTTCTTTTTTTTTTTAATTAAAAAACAACTGTCCTGTTTGCTTACAGTTTTCTCCCCTACCTCGTACTGACGAGATAGATATTGCAGATTGATATGCAGCTTCCACAGGCCATCGCTTGTACAGTTTAACAACTTGGCAAGACAAATCTGAGAACTGTTACTTTGATGAGATTTAAAAACCCTTTAAAGGAGATAAAGGAAATATGCAATCAGGCCTGTAACTTCAGCTTCATGGAAAAACTGTTATTGCAAGTTATGTTTTTAGAAACTAGCTTCTGTTAGTTTGCTGCTATTTTCTTTTTTGAATGTTTGTAATACCTAGTGCAATGTAGAGTAAGCTTTACCCTCTTATATCTATCAGTCCATTTCGACCATACATTTTAATCGCATTCGCCTGTCCTTGCCCAGTGAAACCCCATACAGCTTCTTTCTATTGGAAATTTCCCAACACACCCAAAAATTGAGACAATTTTTTCAATAATCTTAGGATCAGGGGGATGCTGCACGTGCCTAAAACTTCGACTATCACAACATACACAAAATTTGCTTGTGCAGAGGATTCTCTGCTCTAGTGAAACATCTAGAAAGCTTCAAATCTGGTCTGGAGAAACAGCTGAAAGTAGGTGCTCTTAGCTCTTAAGGAACATCATGTAAAGTCCAGAGCAGAGAGAAAACTATGCTACTGAAATACATGGAGATATCCGGAAGTAAAAAAGTATTTATCAGCAGCAAACTCATGCAGAAATACTAAACATATGCTAAATTTAAGCTCTGATATTAATGTATACTAGAGCTGTATTCTTCTTTATTTATGGAATGGTAGTATTCTAGTTCTTTGAAGCTTCAGAGTAAAGATTTTATTTTAAATGAGGTATTGAAATTGGAAGCATATAGATTTTATCACTTAGCAGAATAAAAAACATTTTGATTCCTGACAAATCAGTACTCCAAATATTTGCTTAGAGTAAAAAGTGCCACCATAGGATTCTACGGCTTCCAGTTCTAAAAAAAAATCTAATTTTTAAATGTCTTTTATGCCAAACACATACAGGAATAAAAATAAACCAGATATTACAGTAAATTAATCACTTATTGCTATCACTACTGCAAAGGCAATAAAAGAAACTGCAGTAAATACAGAGGTGTTCACAGATGGAAAAGTACCCCCTTTTTGGCAAAATGATGCATTCTATACTACAAAGGTAACAGATATGATCTAACCTGCCTATCTTAAATCTATGTTAAGAGGAAGCTGAATGTAAGAGTTAAGGGCTTTACTAGCTCCTAAGTCAATCGCCTATCTCTAATGAAACACATTTCCTGGACAGACTACCGATATACACTTTGAGGTGCTGTATTAGGCATATTATTTTGCAACATAACAACAATCAACCAAGCCACCCTTACCTGCTCAGTACACCTTCTACAAGGAAAGCTTTAAAATTCAACCAAATTAGAAGTATTAGAAGCAGAAAGCTTAGATAATGGATGCACTATATCATTCTTCTTTGCTCCAACTCCCCCCCCCCTTTTTAATTAATGGCTGGCAAATACACACAAAGAAACAGAAAGCAAGTTTAACACAAAGCCTTCAGTCAAAGCAGAACGAAGATTTCCATTTTTCAACAACTATACCTAAACACCACAAACAAAGTCTAGTTAAAAACACATGGCAATATTTTTACTATCTTTAGAACAACATTTCATCATGGTGGATAGCACAGGCACCAGCTGCAGTAAAATTAAAAACAAAGTTCATAGATGATGTCTACCTCCTTCATCTTGCCTTAGATTAAGGTGGAAAGTCATATATTTCTATAAATTAACTGGGAGAAAAAAAAAGAAGTGTCATATTGCTGGAAATTCTTCAATTGTTACAATTTGATTATCTTCTTAGGAACCAACCACAAGTCACAAAAGTTTGAGCAGCAATCTTCAGTGAGAGTGTGACTGCTAAACATCTAGATCCATTTTATTACACTGATTGAAAAACATGCAAACTCTGAAGGAGAAAATATGCTTATTTTACTCTGAAAAATACATGGGAAAACATGGTAATGGAACATAAAATCTCAGCGGGCAGAAAGAATTAAACAAATATCTTGACTACATGTCCAGTATGCAAAACTAATATTCAGCATTCCACAGTGAATTAAAAGCAGATTGCCTTCTATCAATGAAAACAAACCTATTCCAAAAGGGAAAATAGCCACAGGATGTTTTCCTTCAAATATTCTGAAAGTCAAGTTAATGAAAAGGTAAACAGTGTGCTCTGAGTTTCATGTGACCTGTTGAACATTCCTGGGGATAGAAAGCTACCTCTTAGCAATAATAACAACAACAACAACAGAACTATTGGAAAGGCAGAAGTATTATACGTTGAAGTTTTTAAAGTATAATAGCAATACTGTGTTTATTTGCTGGTATGGTATAGCAAACACTAACAAGTAATACAAGTTATGACAGTTTAGGCACTGCTTGTCAACAGAACTTCAAGAGAATACATGTAACTTCATTTACTGATAATTTTTGACACAGGATTGTTGTGGGAGATCACTTCTTCAGCTTTTCCATTCAAAGGGATCTGATTCTGCTGTTTTTCCCCCTCCTTTCTGAGAGTCCTGTCTGCTCTCCACCTCAACTATTTCAAGGAGCATCTTCTCACCTTTATGACCCCGTTTTGCTTGTTATGCTAGTTAAACAGTAAACATATAATAATGCACCATCAATGGGTGTCCAAGGGGACATTCCACTGAAGGTAATGAGTCTCAGGAGTGTTTGACTTTCTGTGCTTTTCAGGCCATTTCTTATGCTATATTCGTATTTGGAAACTTTTATCTGCATGCTAAAGTATTAGCTGTTTTTCAACAGCTGTTGAAAGTTTAGATTATTTATGTTAACCGAACCACAGAAGTGCATTATGTAAAACATAGCTAATATGTTTCTAAGACAGAAAGACTACTGCTATGCTTCCTAATATTCTCTTCCAGTCAACAAGGGATTAGCTCACCAAGCTCTGATGACAAGCCACTTCTGCTAAACATCTATACAAATTCTTGTGGCAGGTCTTAGTGTATATATTAAAAGGAGTCTATAACTGAGAAAAAGGTCATGTAACATACTCTCACCAACACATCCGTTTTTGCCAAGAAATGTTTAATGTGCTCTCTCTCTGACATTCATAGAAGCAAGAGAAAGAAAATTTAAACCTTACCTTTCTGCAGACACTTTCAAAATTTACTTCCTTCCTAAGAGCAAGTCTGGTAACTTGATCTGGCTTTATTTCCTGTGAATGAAAGATATATTTATTCTTTTTATGATGGACCTTTACTGAATTTTAGAATGATTCATCTTCCTCAAATATTATGGCTTTATGGCATGCCCTGCTATTTCTTAAAGGAAGGAAAAACAATTTCTCATATATAGTTTTTTTTTTTTTTTACTGTAAATACTGCTTTTAATTAAAATGAAAGATACACTTACTTATTAATTGCATCCAACCTGATACTCCACATCTGGAGTACTGTGTCCAGTTCTGGGCCCCACAGTACAAGAGGGATGTGGAGCTGCTGGAGAGAGTCCAGCGCAGGGCTACAAGGATGATCAGGGGCCTGGAACATCTGCCCTATGAGGAGAGGCTGAGGGAGCTGGGCCTGTTCAGCCTGGAGAAGAGAAGGCTGAGAGGGGACCTGATCAGTGTCTATAAGTACCTCAAGGGAGGCAGTGAGGAGGATGGTGCTGGCCTCTTTTCACTGGTGGCCACTGACAGAACTAGAGGTAATGGCCACAAACTGAAGCACCAAAAGTTCCACAGGAACTTAAGGAAAAATTTCTTGACAGTGAGGGTGACAGAGCACTGGAACAGGCTGCCCAGAGAGGTTGTGGAGTCTCCTTCTCTGGAGATCTTCAAAACCCACTTGGACGCAGTCCTGTGCCACGTGCTCTAGGTGACCCTGCGTGTGCAGGGGGGTTGGACAAGATAATCCCTAGAGGTCCCTTCCAACCTTAAAAATTCCGTCATTCTATGATATCCAATCTGAGTGCAAAGGACCATTTCAGCAGTCAAGTATGAAAGACAATGACTTTATTTTTAGAAACACTTAATGTACCCATACAGGTACACAAACAAACAACCCCCCCCCAAAACTCAAAAACAAACAAAAAACGCCAAAGAAACCAAAATACTTTGGAAGGTAATGAAATAATTAAAACCATTACATGAGGGGAGAGGGGTGGTGGGGCAGAGAAGGAAGAAAATGCCCCCCCCCCAAGTTCTTCTTTTCTGAAAACACTGCACATTTAGGTTTTTTTTTTGCATTAGCAACTGAAAGGGAGGAACTGAAAGCAAAGTTCTTTAGAAGATGCCTATTTCAATGCAACATGCCCTTGTGACAGGCTTTCCCTTATTTTTAAGCATATATTCTATTTATGTTGTATTAGTGTTTATAAATCTTAAAAATGGAATTTTAGACATCTAATGATTTTGTTTTCCTGCTAGGGGTACTATGTCAAATAAATCATGTTACATACCAGTTGTTTGCCAGATGGCTACTTTAAAAGCAGCTTAACTATGGAGTTATGCAAGACCTAAATAACTTCCACATATTCGTAGTTCTGGAAAATGAAGATTCACTAAAGGTTTTCATACAAAAATTTGATAGCTGTTACCAGACGGTATTTCAATACTGCCAGTTTCAACATCTGAAGAAAACCATCTATAAGCTGAATTTCTGAAACTCCAAGAAAGTGGATGAATTGAGAACAAAAAAATAAAAAAGGGGGCCATTGGCAAGATGCAAGTGATTAAGTGATTAGTTTTTATAAAGTGACACATGTCCACCTTTGGCTATATCTGCAACACTGTGTTCCGATACAGTTGAGATAACACTAAGTGAAAAATATCTAAAAGAAATTACTGCAATTAATGACTTCGAAGCTTTGCTACTGTGTCAGTTATTCTAATTTAATTCAAATAATGGGAGTTGTGCTAACTTACAAGTGTCTGGAAAAAGAGGGTATTACTTACAGGTTCACAAACTAAAGGTATTGCTCTTTTATCTCTACTTAACCATCCTTGATAGGCATTCCAATGCTTTCACTTAATATTCTGCTCCATTTTTTTCCCACTCTGTTAAATTTCTATATTCTTTCCTGTTTTTATCCTAAATCTAGAACAGTTTGTCTGTACACTTACATGGTTCCTCCTGAAATGCCATCCAAGCAGTTTATGCCTCTCAATCCAAAAACCTAACTTCCATTTATTAGATTCTCTATAGAGAGGATGCATCTTACCTTGATTGTTAAGGTGCTAGAATAACATGACAGGTCAAAATTAAGAATCTAAAAATTCACTTTATGTGTCAGAAGAGCTTCCTGTGAGTGAGATTCAGCAGTCTGTAAAATCATCTCCCAAAGATACTGGTGGGAGTCCAATCACTTGGCGCACAGAAACCAGACTGCAAAAACACTGCTGAATATAGGAAACAATCTTACACTGGCAGATAGACAGACTGGATGACCTAATAGAATATAGAGATGGAAAAGACCTATGATTCAGTTTTCCATGACTTCCCAAAGTGTTTCACAGATGGCAAAACTAGGACAGAGTAGTTAGGTGACATGCTCACAGTCACATAGCTGGCCAGAGGCTAAGAAGGAAGTTTTGGAGCTCAGCGGAGTTAAACCATACTGTTTCTTTATATTAAATAGGATATATTTCCTGAATTGTATCCCAGATAAAACTGTGCCCTTTAGAATTTAAACAGAGAAAACTGTGAAGGGTAAAGAAAGGTAAAGTGAGGTAATTTTTATATGGCATCATTGCAAAACTACATTAGAATTGCCAATTCATGCCTGGTAATTGAGTGAGATCCACGGTTTGAGATGCAGAGTCATAAATTTACCTTCACTGAAGTGCCTACTGTCCAGAATGAGACCACCAGCCTCCTCTTTAGGGCAAACAAAGTCCTTCACTCCCCTTAAATTTAAGGCAGAGGAAGCATTTAATAGATTTATACAATCTTCAGTATTATTCTGTCCTTGTAAAAGCAGCCATAAGAGCCATCAGCAAGATGGGAAAGAGATTGTTCCCTCTTGCTTACAGCCCGCATCCCTATCTAAGCTTCCAATATGAAAATTTGTAAAGCAAAAGGGAGATAAATGAAGAATCTCTGTAGGCTGATGTATGCAAAATAACTATGCTATTGTGCTTTTATCTTTTGCCTGGTACAGGAGAGCTCTGATAGAGTCAATGAAGATGAAACTTGAAGGGATGCAATAGGTAACTACAGCAACAGCCTAGCTCTTCAAGTCAGGCTGCATTAACTGCAGGAGCTGCTCCTCAGGACATTCTCCAAAAGAAAATAAATAAATAAAAGCAACAACAAAAATCAGTCGAAATGGACCTGTCATCCAGTTGGACCTCGCTAAGGCTAAAGTTAGATTACTAGGCCTTGGCTTGAGGTTAAGCTAAATAAACAGGATATGAAAAACTACTGGACATAACATAAGAAAACTGCTGGATGTGGCAGATGTGAGAAGCTGACAAAATGGCTGGATTTTACAGATAATTAAAGGCAAGTTACACTAGGAAACAGAAGCATAACAGATAGCTGAAGAAAAGTATTGGGGAGCTTATGGGCAGGAAATCCTGCAAGGCAACAGTACCTAAGAAACCATATCTGTAATCCCTTATAAAAGCAAGATTATCTATGCAGCTAGACATCCCCAATTCAGCTATAGGGGCAGCAGAACTGGGAAGAAGGAGGAAAAAAACAAAACAAAACAAAACAAAAAAACCCATAACCAGGACTGGGTAAGGGCATTATTGGGGTGGAAAATCATGCCCACGATGTAGGGAATTAAGGTGTGCAATGGGATATCGAAGTGTACCTGTGGTCAGACCCATGCTGGGGAAGGGCAGCAAGGACAGCCCAGCCTGCTGCTATCCCTGCCACACACCAGACCTGCTTCCATGGCCGAGGGGAGCACGGCTCTTCCGCGGCTCCCGCTGGCAAAGGAGCACCAAGGACAGGCAGGCTGAGCGTCCCACCAACACCATGCTGGTGTCAGCTGAGTGCCTGACCGCACCAAGCATTTCCCAATACCACACCTGCGCCCTGCCAGGCCTTTCCACCTTTCTCTCCAGAGGCAGAGCTCTGCTGAGCTCAGTTCATATATTAGAGGCAGAGAATTTACCTACAGAAATTAAGACAATATATTTTTTTTAAATATGATGAGGTTATTTAAATTAACCATAATTGTATTATGCAGAAAAACAAGACTCCATATTGAACAAAAAGTACATCAAGCATAAACATATCCAAAAAAAGAAAAAAAAAAAAGACAATTCCCTATAATAATTGCTCATGGTTGCTCAGATTACTGCTTATCCAACACAAACTATAAACTCTTTTTTCAGGAGAAAGATGCAGTTTAACAGGAATGGAAATATAACATATTGAACAGCCTTCAGAAGACAGGAAAGAGACAAAAAAAACTGTCAGATGAGGCTTTGACACATCTCAGAAGCGCAAGATTATTCATATAAAATATATTCCCAGTTATCCTGTCTAAATCTGTTTTAGATTACTCAGAAAAGTTTGCCAGTAGTGGCCTGTGGAAACAATTTAGGAAACTCAGTTGTCACATTTAAAAGTTTTACCTACTCAGCTCAATGTTGTTTTGCCTAGTATTATCCCTTTACCTTTCTTTATGATTGAATTCAATAATTTTCCCATTATTTCTTCACATTTCTTAACTGTCCAAGTGTTAAAACTTCCCTCACAGTAACTTTGCAAGTCTAGTAGGACAAGTTTTTCCTTAAAAAGGAAGAATTTCTAAAAAAGTAAAAGCTGCAAAATCAGAGCATGTATAAATAGATAACAAAACATTTCAAACTAACATCAAATATTTTAGATGAAACTTCTGCTGTATTTTGTTATGCATTACTGCCTGTAGATCTTTTAAAATATTGCTTTCTTACACTTGAATGAGTGTTCTAGATTACACTTCATAAAGTGTCTTGCTTTCTTTTTCATTTCTTTCAAATGAATCCAGTTTCATTTCGCCTTTTCCTGACATTTTTCTAGGTTGCTTAGTGAGGAGAAAATGGTAGAAAAATACTCTCTTCATAACAGCTCTTTGGCATCTTTTTCTATAATTTAATGACTGCATGGCTTCCTGTCATGATCAATTTGTTCCCCTCTCCAAGTCCGTAGCAGTTAGGTATTTTAATCATTCAGACCAAAAGTATTCTTTGACTCTTAGTGTAAATACTACCACTGT